GATGGGTGGTGACAAATTTGATATATAAATATAAATATAAGTATAAAAAACTTCCTGAGGATGTGGCAGAAGAAAGAGGCTGCTGGTGCGCGCCTGCCCAGTGACTAGGTACAAGTGGGGAAACGGCTGTGGGGTTGCATTTGGCTGGGTCAGCGGCTGGATGGTGCTTCCTTTGTTCTTCTTGCAGTGAGCGATGCTGTGCCTTTGCCTGGTGTGACCGAATTCTATTCAAGGGGAAGACCATCTCTCAGCTGAGCTACCGAAGCCACATGTCCTTGAGGAACAGTGACCACAAGCCAGTCAGTGCTGTGTTCAGCATTGGGGTATGCTGAACTAGGCCACTGGGCACAAGGCCTTGGCTCAGTCCTCCCTGCCTCTCCCATCTTCCCAGGCCCTTTTGGCATCTTCTGCTCCTCCCTGCCCTCAGCTTTGTATGGTAACCAATGCTTGTGGATCTTCTGCTATTCCATTCTACCCACACGCGTGCACTCACATTGCTGCTTTTCTTTTCTGCATCTGTGTGTCAGGGAACACAACCGCTTGTTGCATTTAACAAAATGAGAGCAATATCCTACACAAGAAGGATTCTGACAGGAAAGAAAAGACAGTAGTGGAGTTGAGCTAATATAAATCCAGTAGACTCCAGGCAAATATATAATAAAAAAGTATTCAACAAATTAGCCATAAAATGAGGCAGCAACTCAGAACCCTGAGCAAAATAAAACCATTACGCTTGAAGAACAAAGTGTCTCGAGCAGGCTAAGGTGGGGCTCTGAAAAGGATGCCAGCACCACTTCCATTCCACAAGTCGCCACGGAAAATCCTCTTCTCTAGGTTGCATAGAAGAAAAGCTATAGCAGAACATTTTTGAACAGGGGCAGGTTGGCCCTGTTCCCTTGAGACGGATTGAGTGACTGCCTCTGTGGCTTGGCTCTCGTGGCTTAGCTTCTATGGCAGGTGATACTGATGATGTTGCGGTGCTGATCAGGATTATGTGTCCCTTCTAGGTGAAGGTGGTGGATGAGCAGCTCTACCGCAAAGTCTTTGAGGAAACTGTGAGCTCCCTAGACAAGATGGAGAATGCTAGCATCCCATCCGTCACGCTCTCCAAGAGGGAGGTAAAATAGTGCTACCCAACTAGAGAGAGATGGTTCAGTGCAGGAGCTGAACTGAGCGCCAGTGAATTCAGGCAGGAGAGGTCCCTTAAGAGGCCTTTTGATCAAGATTCTAGACAATCTTGCTTAGTAGTAGAGCTGGGAACATGGTTTGCTAAGCTGGTTCGGAAAACAGCAACGTCTAGTCATCTGTCAAAAAATTATTTAAGAAAAATAAATAAATAATTGAGAAATTATTTCCTGCTGGCTGGAGGTATTCAGAAATTGGGGGGGGGGAGTAAAATGAGAGGGTTTAAGCAATATTGGTGCTTAACCTGGCCTAAACAAGGATACCACCATCAGATGGCAAATCAGAATAGAGGCTATAGAAACAAAATAGGGGTTGACCGGGGAAAACAAAATCGACACCGATATAATTTCGGCCAGCTCAAGGATGGCTGAATAGCACCTTAACTGAACCATGGGTCTTTATTTTCTTCTGCTCCCACCTCCAGTTCTTCTTCAGGGACGTGAAGTTCATGCAGTTACAGATGGAATTCTTCATCATCTGCAACGGGCCAATCCCTTGCCAGTTTGAGTTCATCTGCAAGCCACATGAAAGCAGCTATTGCAAGCCATGGTTAATAGCAAAACCCAGCAAGGGCTTCTTGTTACCAGGTGACTTGGGTGTCTGTGATATGTGTGTGTAATGCATATTCTGCTTCAGTTTATGCTAGAAAGAAGCAGTTGGCAGGTTGCTGTTTGATCTTGGGGTGGAGAACATAAAGTTCGTCCTCTGCAATTTTTAATTAATTTTAATTAAAAACCTGTCCTTTTCCCTGAAAAGGTGGTTGTATGAGCACCAGTCTTGGATAATTGTGATTGTATGAACTTGCAGAAGTTTGATTCCTGGTCTATATTTATGGCCCTTGATAGTGTTTTTCTGTACCCCATGGTTTTTTTTATCTTTGATATCATTAATCCCAACCAGCTGATCAATAGGATCTGTGATTATGTTTTGTGTCTGGAATATTCCACTTTGCTTCTTCCATGAGACTATAGCAAAACTTTGCTAAAAAGTTGATCTTTGATCATCTGATCTTTCCTTGTGAAACCCTACTAGGGTTTCTCAACACTTCCATCCTCTTCCTACCTGTGCATGAGATCTGTGTGAAGTTTTTAGTCTTGGTATTCTTAGTTTACATCTTTCTTCTCTTTGGAGATGCTGAGGTAACTGTTGAGTTGGAAGTATTTGTGAATAAATCAACAGCAACCCATTTAAACTCTGGAGAAGACCATTTGGAAGACATCTTAGTTTTACACCTTGATCGGGGCAAGGATTATTTTTTATCTGTGTCAGGGAATTACCTGCCCAGCTGCTTTGGGTCCCCTATACAGGCACTCACTCACATGAGACAACCCATTCAAGATATGTTGCCAGAGGCCATCAGGAATCTGGTGAGTTCTTACTGCCCTGGTACTGCCCTTTTACCCTGTGATACCCTGATTTGCACAAGTTCAAAGGCTCTTATAGAGCATGTGGCTGTTTTTATCCAGACACTGATGCCATTGTGGTCAGGAGAAGATTTCTTCTGGGATGAGAAGCCCTTGGACATACCCAAGGAACTGTGGATGATGGTGGACCATCTCTGCCGCAGTGCTTGCCAGCAGGTTGGTATGCATCTGAGTCTGTACATCCTAATCATGAGAGGACGGTAGTGTTTTAGTAGGCAGGTAATTAATTCTGAAATCAGGGATAGAAGAGAATGTCCAGGGAATGTCTCTATAGATTATTTGCTTCAGCCCTGTTCCTTACAGGTAGTCCTCATTTAGTGACCACAATTGAGACTGGCAACTCGGTTTCTAAGCAAAGTGGACACTAAGTGAAACCATGACTGTGCTTACAATTTGACTTCAGCTTTCCTTTGCTTTACAGACCCGCAAAGGTTGTAAATGCGAGGTTTGGTTGCAAAGTTACTTTTTCATCACAGTCATAATTGTGAATGGTTACTAAATGAGGCAGTTGCTAAATGAGGATTATCTGTACTCTTGACAGTTTCATGTGCAAGAAAGCCTGGCTGTGGGATGACGGGGGTAGGGGTGTGTGTGCCTGGATGCAAATAAAAGGGATGTGCTTTCAGAAGACCTGACAAAATGCAACTGTTTTTATGTAATTTTCATCTACTTATGATTATGCTGCCACTGCAGAAAGACCTGTTCCAGCAGCCTGGCCTGAGAGCTGAGTTTCCGGAGATCCGCGACTGCCTGGACACAGGGACGTTGGACACGTTCAGTATTCTTTGGGAAAGGCCTTTCTCTTTCTCCCTCGCATTCATTACATTATCATCCCTTAAAGCTGCTTTGTGCCATTTCATAATCCTACTTCTGTGACAACCTTTAGCAGAGTCTCTGGGTGATGTGCCAGTGCTAGAAGACAGATTGGGAGAGTTATACAGCAGCTTCAGCCTTTCAACTGCCCCAGCTCCACCCCAAGAGGGACTTTTTCCAGACTGTCTTCTTAAAACGCTTGCGGTGGCTTCTGAAATGGACAAAGGAAACCTTTTCCCCAGACCACCTTTTACCTTCGGCTATTTGTCCATTGACCTTGTGGGCTAGCAGATTGCACCTGTTCTTCTGCTTGGCTTTACAGACCTGAGACTATCATGGCCTTCTGCAGGGTCTTCAGATTTAGGCCATGAAACGGCACGGCCTGTGGGAGTGTGGGGCTTGCCCAGGGTCAAGTTAATTGCACATAGCTAGAGTAAGCAGTCTAGTTCCAAGTTTCCTTTCATCATCATTGGTCAGTTGGCAGCAGCTCCTCAGTGGCTGAAGCCCTGCTCCTCTTCTTGGAGAGTCTTCCTGAGCCAGTTATCTGTTACCAGCTGTATGACAGCAGTGTGGAGAGGGCCAGCAGCTTTGTCCTGAGCAGCCAGGTAAGAGCGCCCCAAAAACAGTGGGGATATGAAACTACCCCTGGGCATCCCTGGGTCAGCAGTAGCTGTTGTTTCTCTCTTCCAGGTGGTTTCCATGCTCCCCACGTGCCACAAAAATGTCTTCAGGTACCTGATGGCATTTCTGCGGGAACTGCTGCAACATTCTGGGAAAAACCACTTGGACGGGAATATTCTTGGTAAGCAGGATGGGACCCCCCTCTGGGAGGGCAGTATCATCCGGGCCTAGGATGAGGGGAGAGTGACCCACTTGATCTCAGTCCTCTGTGATGACTCTCCTTTGAGGGGGAGGGAATTTCTCTGTGCTCCGAGATGACTTGCAGGCTCCTCTCCACTGTGCGGCACTGCAGAACTTGAGCCCCTTTTCCCCGTCACTGCTCCTGGCCCGTGGGACAGCATTTCCCCCGCAGTCCACGCAGCTCCGACTCCGCCATCCTTCAGGAAGGCTATGAGACTGGCTGTTCCAGCAGGCCCCGGCTGAAAGCTATTCCGAGCCCCCCGGCATGCTGCGGCTGCTGCAGTGTTTCGTATTCCCTGCATGGCAGTTTGCTATTTGGTCCCACTTTTATATTGTACTTTTAACTTGTCCTGTATGCTGTCTTGATGACTGGGCAGCCTTACAGATCCAATCAATAAATAACTGACTAAAGCTCGCTACCAGTGTGGAACCCGAAGGCCCCCTTTCCTATTGGTAGCCCTCAGCTGCTTCCTTCTGTTCTCTGCGCAGCCAGTGTATTTGGGCCTGTTCTGCTGCGTCCTCCGCCTGGCCGCCCAGTGCCCGACCCTGCTGAGAAGCAGAAGGCTCAGCAGTTCATCCAGCAATTCCTCCTCCTGGAAGGGAGCTCACATTGAAGGCTTTGGGTTTGAAAGACCGTTGGTGGGATTTCTGGGAAGATACTTTGGTATATTCAGAATACTACATTCTTTATTCCTTTAAAACTTTTTAAAAATAAAGATCATCTTTTAAAAATATACAGGGCAGTTATTGAGAAGCAGCTTTCAAAGGAATAGCGGTTTTGGTATCAAATGAGTGGCTAATGTGGATGCCGACTCTTCATATCCCAGTTGCTGTGAAAAAAGTCACTCTCCTCTGTTGCTTTTAAATGTAATTTTCAGCCCTAAGTCAGATGCTCTTATTTAAATACGTTCTTTAAAATGTTTAACAGCTCAATACATTCCATACCATTCACACACTTTGTAATGCAGATTACAGAGCTTCTTCAAGTGGCGAGAGGGCAGGCAGGTGGTGTTTTAAGGAGGTGCAGAGCAAAAAAGACTGCGGACATCAGCCTTCCCTTCCCAGCTCTCTGCCAGTGGGTCGTGCCGTTCCCCTTGCCCCCCTAGCCTTTGGTGGCTGGCCTTTCTCTCTGGCTCTGCCGCTGTCCCCCTTCCGTGGGTCATTGACCAGCAGGAAAGCATCCCCAGTCACGGCACAAGAGCAGGAATGGGAAGGACTGACTTTGGGACACTGCCTGGACATCCCTAGCCTGGCTTGGCTGCCCTCCTCCGCCACCTATTTGGGCATCTCCCAAATCTGGAATTAAGTGAAATAAAGAGACCAGGGCAGAATCTTCTCCAGACCCTGCCTTGACTGTGCCCCTAGCTGGGTCTTGTGGGCCTGGAGAATGGAAACTGGACAACCAGATCTCATCTTTAAGGAGCAAAGAAGCAACCAAGGCCTGGTTCAGCCCTCTTTATGTTCTGGGCATTGCAGTGAGGAAAGGTGGGTTGCTGCATCTTAAGGTAAAGATTTCAAAATGTCTTTAAAGAGGACTGTGGTGAATATACTCTTCTTCTCCCCCAAATCAAAGAGTGGAGCTCTGTTGCACCTGGAATGAAATGGGTGTCAAAAACCCTGGGAAGGGGGTAAGGTGTGAGAGGGCAGTTTTGAACAGAGCCCAGGAAGCCAAGCGTTAAGGAGAGGCTGAACTCCAGGAAAGAGGAGAGGGGCTCTCTGGCTGACCAGAGAGGAGCCCCCGGCGCTCCCGAAGCATACTCTGGTCACCATCTCCGGACTAGGGAAGGGCGGCAGAGCAGCGTTGGAGTAGGGTCAGCTCAAGATGGAAACTACTACTAGAAAAATGGTGCGGTTCAGGCCAACTCCTGGAACTTTAAGGGAAAGCTCACACACATCTCTTTATTTAGCATATTATATGGCTGCCCATCTACCACTCTTGGCAGCAAACAAGATAAAAATAGAACCGATTTTGCAATCCATTAAAGAAAAACCAGGTTGAGGCCCCTAAAGATCTCAAAAGCAGCATAAATAACACACCTGCCCTCACATCAGAGCTCCATTAACCCCCCGGCCCCAGTGTCTGGGGGATATATAAATATGATAAATAAATAGTCAGCCCTTCATGGCCTTCTGGAAGGCCAGCAGGGCTGGGACTTGTGGGGCCACAAGGGAAGGCTGGGTTGCTAGTGCAAGGTTGTGCAAAGTTACGGTGCAGACAAGGGTCTCCGTGGAAAAGAGCAATGCACAAATTGCATCCTTGCCATACTTCTGTACATTCCCATCAAGGCCACCATGTAGAAAATGCATCTTTGCTCTAGAGGGTTCAAGATCCAAGGATCCCAGCCAGGTCCACATGCCCTGCCTAGCTGTGGGCCTTGAATTTTGCAAGATGGAAAGCTTGAAGCTATTGAGCTTGCCCTCCTTCCTCCCTGAGTTTCCAACAGGACCAGGTGTATGATTGAGAAAGAGTGCCAATTGTATACTTCGCACTACATGCACAATTGCAAACCACTTCAGCAAGAAAGAAGAAACAGGACAGTAGAAGTAGCATAACGAAAAGCAAAAATTGAGTTATAGGAAGTGGAAAGAAGGATGCCAAAAGCTCAAATGGGTAGTCTGGAAATGAAGATAGTATCAGGAGAGCTGAGGCTCAGAATGAGTTGAGATTGGCAAAGGAGGCTGAGAAGAACCAAAAGGGCTTCCTTTTTGAGCAGTTCAGCAGTTTACCCAGAGAAGGGCTTGCCTTTGCTCCAAATGCTCAAACTTAATCTGTCAAGAATGCTTTGAATTGGATTCCTGCACTGAGGAGGAAGTTAAACTCTGGCCTCAAGGGGTGAAAAATCTGCTGAAGTTGGCGGGGGTGGGGGGGAGGTACAGATGTCCAGTTTTATTTTAAAAAATAGTTATTTTAAAAATATAGCTTAAAATATAGAATTGAAGGTTGGTTACTGAGTGCAAGAAAAGCATTATATGATAAGGCATGTGTAAAGCATAATGCACTTAGGTAAAGGCTCAACATTGAACACTAGAGTAAAGGAAGTGTAATATCCTCTTCATTGTTGTACCGTGGAGACATTAGAGGTGTATTGAGTGGGGATGGGAATGTCCCCCTATTTTCATATCCAGAAGATGCCAAGTTGTGGTTTGAGAACTTGAATGATTTGGAGCAAATCTAGGATAGCATGAAGAATCTCTATGCCTTAGCAGAATGTTTATGAAAGACGGGAAAGTGGGCAGAGAAATGTTAAGGCATGAAAAAGCTGAAAGAAAGGTAGCAAGTATGTGTTCGGTTCCAAGAAATGAATGTTTGGCATAAAAAGCCAAAAGGCCATGTATAAGAATGTGCTTCCATTCACTTTATATCGTAGAAGTGGCAGCTCAAGAGAAATATAAAACGTTGGATGTAGTACGAACAGAAGCAGTGTGGTAAAGAATGAGGGGCTGCTAAACATACATGATGACAATAGTGTCCAAATGTGCATTGAGGTGATTTAGTCAGGATGAAGGTCAAATCACAAAAGATACATATGAAGAGTGAATAGGCCAAGAGGAAAGGGAACGAAATAGTGGCTGGATGGAGCTGATGAGATTCTCAAAAAGAGAGGGGTGAGGAGCTTAAAGAACAAAAGGTGATGAATTAGCATACGGTTGTGCTGGAGAAAAGAATGGTTTGCAAAGATAGAAATGTACAAAAGAAGGTCCTTTGCCCAAGGTTGGCCACAACACCAGTTGTGGCCCTGCTTGAAGTGGGAGGACCTTGTTACCGTGACCCATCCTCATCATCCCTTACTTGGGCAACATGGGACTGTCTTTGAAGGCCAGGTGGAAGATACAACTGGTCTAAAACCTTGTAGCCAATATATTCACACACACTCAGTGCAGTGAACATAGTACTCTGATACTGGATGTTCTGCACCAGCTTCCAGTAGGTTTCTGAGTGCAATTCAAAATGCTGATTGAAACCAAGGCCTTCCAGAGGGCTTTGATTGATTGAGCAATTGGTTATGTGCCATCCAGTCAGTGTTGACTCTTAGTGATCACATAGGTAAGGTTTTCTCCAGGATCTGTCCCCAACCTGGTCCTTCAGGTCTTCCAATGGTGCCCCCATAGCCACTGTACTGAGTCCATCCCCCTGGCTGCTGGTCATCCTCTTCTTCTCTTTCCAGCATCAGAGCCTTCTCCAGAGCGCTGGGGCTTTGCGTAATGGGTCTGAAGTGGGATAATCGGAGCCTGGTCATTTGTGCCTCAAGGGAGAACTCTGGTTGACGAGGGCTTTGGGGTTATTGTTATGTGCCAGTCATCCTCTAGTTCAACCACCTAGAATTGCAAGTTGTGGCAGTCGGTAAATGTCATAAATAAAAGTACATAAATGGTGTCAGCGTGAAGTAAATTTAGTTGCACCTCCTTTTGTCTCATGTCTTTCTTCGCCTATACTTCTTCCTCCCTTTGTGCGCTCTCGCTATAAGGGATGCTCACCCATAAGGGATGTCTATAACGTAATACTGTATTTTTGATTTGCACAATATATTGGATTGTAAATTAGGGTCAAGCACTGAGCCCACATACGCTGGGCTAAAACACGGTTGGGCTAGTTTGTCGCTCAGTACATTTTGCAAACAGCCTAGAAAGACAAAAAGGTGAATAAATAAGTTGCAAACTTTTCTAAGGAGCAGTTAGTTTCTTTATTTCATGTTACCCTGGGCGCTTTTCACTGTGGAGCTTTTACGAAAAAACAGAAATGCAAAGAGAGCAGAAAAAGCAGATCGGGCCACGTTAAGACGCCAAAGGCCGCGTTCAGGCGGTCGCCCCTCCCGGCTCCGCCCCGGTAGACCCCCCGCCGCGGAAG